TGTAGTATTACTGCAGTACTGTTCCTTTACTAATATGTACTGGTGCTCAGAGGAGAGACGGCAGCAAAGAACAGCTGGGAGATTTCTTTGGAGGATCAAACTCCTACGCTGAGTGCTACCCTGCTACGTAAGACACACAACATACATGCAAAAATACACAGCAGTACAGATGCACAAACACACATACACAGTGCTAGCCTGCTATGTAAGATACACAGAATACACAGGTACACACCCATATTAAACTTCACACATACAGTATAAACACACAGTCATGTGTGTACTAGTACTTTAAATCTGTGTGTGCAGGATGGACGACCTGGCTGTAGACAGTGACGAGGAGGTGGACTACAGTAAGATGGACCAGGTAACTCCAACTCTTAGCATGCCTCACTGCTCTGCGACAGCCACTACCTCTCCACAGCTTTACACCCTGCAGTCAAACTCTCATTGAAAAATGTGGTCTCAGAACATAAACTGATTGCTTAAAGTCAGAGTCCTGACTTGGTGAGATGTGACCATGTGACCACATGTTGATCTGACTCGGTGAGATGTCCACCTCCTGAGCATCACGTCATCTCTGATGTCCCTCCACAACAAACCTCCATAAACCCAGAGGGAAACCAGAGGCTGCAGAACCTGCCTGAGACTCCTCCTGTTTCTAAGTGGATCTCTGGAAGTTTATTGTGGAGGGACATCAGACTTAATGAGACCGTCAGGAAGTGGGCAACATGTGTTTCATGTTTGTTTCTAAGTTTCCTTCAGTGTCCCAGTGACAGTTGTGTGGATGTCCACATGGGCACTGCTCACCGCTCACTGGTAGCGGGGCCACTGTGACTATAGGGCTAAACGATAAATTGTGTTGTGGGCCTGATTCAGACCCCCGTGTAATCTCGGTCTCACATGACAATGATTCTGCTGCGTTTGCATTAGCATGGAGATGCCTTGCATCAAACCAAGCGCTCCCTTTTCCTCGCTAAGCAGTGTTAACCAGTAACTGCAACTAATAACCACAGAACTGATGAAGCTTCTTGGATGAGAGGTGAAATGTCTTCAACCTAGAAATCTAAGTCCAGTTGATTTTTTTTCTAAGTTTTTTCAGTTTACTATGACCTGGATGACTGAGAATCTGCACAGACAATAACCACAGAGTGCTATTCGGTGCCAGGTACACAGGACAGTCAGCGCAACATTTGAAAAATAGTTGTTAACGCAGCTTAGCAAGGAAAAGGGAGCACTTGGTTTGATGCAGGGTGTCTCCCTGCTAATGCAAATGCAGCAGAATCATTGTCATGTGAGACCAAGATCGCATGCGGATCTAAATCATGCTTACACAACGATTTGTGGTGCTGCCCTATGTGACTACATGTGAGCTGATGCAGGGTATAAACACTGAGGACTCCGTGTGTAGCTCACAGCCGACTCTTGCAGTATTATATATCCTGTTTTAAAGGGCGGGGGCTCCAGTGTGAGTTTTTAGTTGTAGGTCTGTAAAACACATGAACCACACAAAAGACTTGGCAGACTAGCAGCAGCAGCAGCAGCAGCAGCTGTAGTAATGACCTATACAGGTTGTTTGTGTTTCTGAAGTATTTTCTCTGCAGTATGTCAAATGCCACGGCCTGGGCTCAGAATGTGATGAAGTGACTTTGCATGTGATTTAGTCCCTGTGACGGTGTTGACTACAGGTCTTTAAAGGGAACTCCAGAAAATATGTGCAGCTGAATGTTCATGACAATATCTGACTTGCTGTATAGAGGTGACGTGTTGTGATGTCCTGTGATGCTGCAGCAGGGGGCGCTGTTTCATAGCTGGGAACAAACTGTCAGGTTTCTGCTGTATCTCACGTGTGTGTGGGTTAGAAAACTGAAGAATTGCTTTCACGTACATTATTATTACTATTTGTTGTTTTAAGTTGTTATTTTGAGGATGAACTTAAAGACGTCAGTGTAGAACAGCAATGCCTGTTTTCAACAAATTAACTTTATTATGGTGATGATAAGTGTATGGTCTGACCCTTGTCTTCCAGGGGAACAAGAAGGGTCCGCTGGGCCGCTGGGATTTCGACACCCAGGAGGAGTACTCCGACTACATGAACAACAAGGAGGCACTGCCAAAGTATTTGCTGTTTATTTCTCTCTCAGCTCTGACTGACATGCAACACACTGCTCCTGTGTGTTCATGGTGAAATTTGTCTATGCAGGGCTGCCTTCCAGTATGGCATCAAGATGTCCGAGGGCAGGAAAACGCGACGCTTCAAAGAGACCAATGAGAAGGCCGAGCTGGACCGCCAGTGGAAGAAGATCAGTGCGGTGAGACGCCACGGATGCAGAACATTTTTGTTTAGAATAGAAATGTAAAACAAGGACTGATTGACTGTTTCTGTGTGTTTCAGATTATCGAGAAGAGGAAGAAGATGGAGGCTGATGGGTCAGTGCTTTCTGTTTCTAGCATCAGTAGCTCAGCCAATTAGAAGAGAGTAAGGAGGTCTCTGTCAGATATAACCACAGAAACAATCAAATCAAATCAAATTTTATTTGTATAGCGCCAAATCACAACAAAAGTCATCTCAGGACACTTTACAAAGTAAGGTCCAGACCTTACTGTTATCAATATTATTACATAGGAAAAACCAACAAATCGCCCTTTAGCAAGCACTTGGCGACAGTGGGGAGTAAAAACTCCCTTTAACGGAAGAAACCTCCGACAGACCCCGGCTCTGGGTGGGCGGCCTTCTGCCTCGACCGGTTGGGGTGAGTGGATAGAGGAGAGACAAAAGAAGAAAAGCAACAAGACACAACAATCAAACACTGATCAGGTCGATGTGGCTGGTGACTGCTCGTCAGAGACATAGAGCTCCAGGGCCAGGGCAACCTGTAGAAAGGTACAGGGAGAGAGAGAGGACACACTACGGGAGAGAGGAGACACAAAGTTAGTAATGTGTAATGTGGCATATAGAAGCATAGGGAGAGAGGAGAGGAGAGGAGAGCAAGAGGGGAGGGGAAAGAAACTCAGAGCATCAGAAACAATAGAGGGCGGTCAGCAAGTTCTGATGTTTGACTGCCAGAATCATGCAAATGTAGGCAACAAACAAGCCGGTAAAGATGATAGTCAGTACCGCTTGTGAACAGCCAGTAAAGGTAGTGAGCAGGCAATAAAAAGGGTAAAGAGTCGGCAAAGGTAGTGAACAGCCGGTAAAGACTCTGCAAAGGTACAGCCGGTAAATAAACAGTAAACTTTCATCTAACTTTTTTTTTTTTTTCCTCTCCAGGGTGGATGTGAAGAGGCCCAAATACTGAAGGCTTCCTTCTTTTGTTCCTTGTGTCCTCCTTTATCTCCTTTTCTTGACTTCTCTGCTGTCTGATCAGGAGACACAGGATCAATATCAATCATTTATTAATTGTTATTAACATAAACATGTGTAATAGTCGTGCTGGTCTGTGAAGTGGTTCCTAGTTTTGAGACATTACCGTGTGAGGTCAGAGGTCACACAGTGCAACATGGCGCCCACTGAGGCAGACGCGTTTGCACGTTCCACTCGACCTTGACACAGGTAATCGATCAGCTTCACACTCATTCAGAATAACCCGATATCTGATGGTATTGATTAGGTTGTGATTTAATTGTGAGCCATGAATCCTCATTAAACTTTAAAACATGTCAAAGACAAACTACCTGATCTCAGTTTGTTTTGCTGTTTTGTTCCTCCAAACATACAGTATGAGAAGATTCTCTGGCTTATAAAAACTGCATTTACGACAGGATTTTATTATAAAAGGTTTCACGGGTTTGTCAGAGGTCTTTAATTTTGTGGAGTTTTAAGGGCTGTGACTGGTATGGAGTCAGTGTAATTAACAATATAAACCTGAAAATGAGCATAGTTTGTGACCTTTAATCATTCCTGGGGTCAAACCTGGACTTTTTCAGTAAAACAAAGTCACAGAACATGTTTCTATTAAAGTGAACACATTCAGGTAAAGTAACTGAACTGAATTACATTTTTCTCAGTTTTTGTGTTGTTGCTTCACATTCATGTATCTGGTGTGAACACAACTGCCAACATCAGACCTGAGTCTGAGTCACTCGGAGTCACAGCCTCTGATGTGATGTGGGCGGAGCCAGGTGAAGTCAGGTGGATGTTTTGCTGTAGGTGAGTGCTGCTGTTACCATCAGTTACAGAGATTTCCTGCTGCTTGTTTTCCAGTTCACACTCGGGAAACACAGCATCTGAAAACACATTGACACAGTGCTGGCTATGTTAACCTGGTTAGCATTATGTTAGCTTCCTTCCTAATAACATGATTGTGTGTCTGTAGGTGTGTGAGAGTAGTAGTCCTCAGGGTGTAGGACTAGAGTGTGGCTATTTAAAAGTCAATTATGCAAAAAAACCATGAAAGATGCGTATCAAAAAGCTGTTTACAGTATGAACAGAGGAGTTGCTGAATAGTTGAAATGGTGCTGAAGAAATTGAGCTCTGAAAAATGTACAGAAGAAACCAGAAAAATAAAGAATAGGATAACAATAGTGTGGATGCTCAGCATCCACACAATAATAAACAACAGGATAACATGGTAATAAACAGGGAGCCAATGCAAAGAGCTGATTTGTCTGACCATTTGATAGTGGGTATAAGTAATCATAAAACTCTGTGCTCCCTTTCTGCTTTTGGATAACATTGCATCTGATCTTAAGGCCCCCCCCTCCCTCAGCCTCCGCTCCCTGGGCCATTCTGAAGCTTCCTCCCCTGTCTGTAAGCCAGCCCTCCCTTGGGGGAGAAATACTCTCCTTTGTTTTGACTGCAACCTGGCTCCATCTGGTACTGAGCACCAAGACCCAGCAGATTATAAATTCTGGGCAGGGTGATCTCTCCATTGACAGAAAAAAAAATACGGCAATGCATAAATCTTTTGCAAATTGAACAATTCCCATGTGGGATTTGCCAGTAGTCCACAGTAAAAGCTGAACACAATCTGTTTAAAAGTAAAAGTCAGGATTGAAAATGGCCTTTGGTCAGCGTACACAAAAACAGCACTGTCTCTTTAAATCAGCCAGCGTCTGTCAGGATGGGGGTCGGGGTGGGGGGATGGAGTGAGTGCCTCATGTGAAATGGTACCCTAAAGTGACATCATGCTCAACCAATCAGCAGCTGCGCCTGAGTTCTCTCCTCCCCTCCTGCTCCTGGTATGAGGCTACTGAAGACGGGGGCTGCTGCTGCTGCTTCTGGAGCTGAGGGTCCAGGGCATGCTTGCCTCACACCAGGTATATTCTGTGTAGCATGTACACCTGTTTTTTTGTGCTATTTGTGCATGTATTTATATGGCGAACGGCTTATTCAGTGGCCTTGGTAGTGCATGTTGAGAAGGTGATGGATGGTGATGGAGGAGACTGAAAATGGCTCTGTATGTTTCATAACACCTCTTAGATGATGTCGCCACCATGACTATAACCAGGATGGGTGTGTATCTGTGTGTTTGTCTTTCAGTCTTATGCTAAATTAAGTGGGAAAGAAAATTATATCTAACATGAATTGGAGGTGACAGCTTTAGCCTTCACTGCATGATTGGTATCATGTATAATGGAATAAAAATATTATTGCATACTAGCTGTGAATTATAACATTGTCAGCAAAGAAATTATATGGCCCTTGGAGATGATCCATTTCATGTGACTCGTGTGTGTGTGTGTGTGTGTGTGTGTGTTGGATGTCTTAGATCAGAGTGTGTCTACATTCTAATATATATATAAACACATGGTTTTTCTTACATATATTAGTAGGCTTATATGTTAAAATGTAGATGTTCTCATCTCTGCCACTGCAGTCTTTCAGTTTTTATCATTCTGTAAGGATAAATATTTGTGTAATTAACATGAGACATGCGACAGCATGCCTCATTGTTCTGAATCATCTCTCTGTCATCTTGGACGTTTGCACCTCTGCTTCTTTCCATTCATCAGAAATAGTAGGCACAAGCTTGTACTCACTTCCTGTGCTGATCTGGAGGTTAACTCTTTGTTTCCAATGGCTCAGCTGATCATGCTCTGCCGCAAAGACCTGAGGTGTGGAGTCACTGGGGGCAGATGTGCACCTTGCCCGGTGACAACAGGTAGAGATGTATCCCGCTGTTGATAAGAGCACGGAGCAAAGGTGAGTATCAAACTAAACAGTTATAATCAGCAGTATGACACATTTAGAAGTCAAAATTTCCGTTTCTGTTCCTAATTTTGTTCATACCTTCGTTATCTGCCGTGTGTACTTACATGACCTTTTGTGCTGTGCCCAGGACCAGTTGGACCTTGAATGGTCCAAAACAAGGCAGCAATGGCAAAGAGAGATTACCTGGTGGAGGCGGCCAAGCAGATTCGCATGGCACTGGACAGTGAGGTTAATGAGGACTACGAGGCAGCTTTCAGTTACTATAAGAATGGAGTGGACTTACTGCTGAATGGGGTTCAGTGTAAGTGGTCAGCATTTGGTTTTACACACAACTAGTCAAGGCTATGTGATGTTGTAAATGGAGAAACTGAGGAAGAGTGTTTGCATGAGGCATGTGATGTGGGATAGATGAAAAACAGGAAGTCACAAACCAGAAGTTACAGACAGATTTTCTTTCTGGCCAGATATTTTTTCCCCACAGTGTCAGTAGTCAGCTGTGTGTTACAGTTCCTTATCCAACATCAAAGGCTAAAAGGTTTATAGATTTGTTCTTTTCACACAGATTTATTTATTTTTTAAACTGATGTTTCAACTGTCAAACAGTGGATCCAAACAAAGATCGTCGGGAAGCAGTGAAGAGGAAGACGACCCAGTATCTGAAGAGAGCTGAAGAAATCTTCATAACACATTTGCAGGATAATCTAGGGAAGGGCAGCTCTCATTTAGGGGTAAGACAATCATCCTACACCCTCATTTACAAAAGCGTCACTCATTTGCTCTAAACATGTGGCCAGAATCATTTTCTAGGGTTGAGAAATTTTTAGTGGTCTCCACCTAAGACTGATATCGGTTAATTCACATTACAGTGACAGCTTTCTTAACTTGTACTCATTGAGAGAACACAGGACAGAACCTATTGTATTACTTCTTATGTTAGATGAAATGTTTAATGCCTGTATCTCACTTCGTTCTTGTCTGAAATATTGAGAAAATAGTGCAGTGTGCTTCTAAGTGCTACACTTAATGTCCTGTGTGGCTTTCCTCACCAGGGCTACAGCAGTCTGAGATTCCGTCCGATCAGACACTTGAGTTCGCCTGTGGAGGATTTGGAAATGTGTAAGGTGGTTGGAGTGGCTGATAAGGTAAGACAGACCTTCTTGTTCTCAAACACTTCCTACATGAATGTTTCAGGCTCTGTACTGGTTTGTGGGCATTGACCCTCCTTGTTGTAAATGATGAAAATGTAAATGATCAACTGCACTGTAACCATGAAAGCTGTTTATAGTGAACTATACTGTCGCAATTGCTCTGCTTTGCTATGGTAACCCGAGGATGTTGTTTTTTCATTTCAAAGGTCCTGATCGTTCAAAGTATGGTGAACAAAGAGACATTTGTTGTCAAGGTAAGTACGCAGTCCTCTTCCATGGTACTGCACCAGGGACAGATCTAGAAAATTTTGGATGGGGTGGCCAGGCTGGGGCACAGACTGAGAGAGGGGTGGCACATTTCACATAAATGTAAAAATTTAATTAAATCCATAGTTCTATGAAATAATCAACCATACATTATTAAGATTTTTTTTATTTTGTTTTTATAGAACACACATAGTGTTAACTTTGGCCGCTCTCCTTATTTAATCCAGTCTGAGGACAGGACCCCTTTAAACGAATGCAAATATCATGCTGCATGCATGATATAAAATAAAACTAATCTGACCAATAACAATTATAAAGCAACAGAAATATTTTAGTTTTATTTAAGGCAACAATTTGTCATTGTTTTTCATTCTTCATTCATTAATACTGACAAGCCTCACGTTTTGACTCTGGCCAATCAAATTCTGAGGGTGACCGGTGCCACCCCTGGCCACCCCCTGGATCTGCCCATGCACTGCACTAAAAGTCAGAGGTCTGGTTCAGAGAAAAAAAAAAGTGATGGGCACTGCATTCTCTGTCTCGCTCTGTCTACTATAGCAGATTGAAATAAAACACTGGTCCATGGGCCAGTATGTAGCCACCAGTAACGGAGGTGTTTTGAGGGTTGTTGGCAGGGCAGTCGATAACAGCTCTCTCCATCCTGTCTCCCTGCATATCATCCAGCATTGATCTGCTTGAAAGCCAGTGCAAGTGCACCTCATATTTCAGTGACAAGAGATGCAGTAACACAAAGACACTAAACAGGGCAAGCTAAGCCCTAGAGAATCATTTTAAAAATTTCAGCCATGTCCATAGTAATACACTTTTTCAGTAATAATGCACACATTCTTCCCTTCCCCTTCCCATATTTCCTTTTCTGAAAAGATCAGTCATTACATTGATATATTCTTGCAGAGCTTGGTCAAGTCGAGCTGGGAGACCAGGGACCAGCCCACAATCATTCCTCAGGGGGTGCCATACATGGTTAAGCTGCTAAGATATTATGTCAGTGAGGATGCGGTGTACCTTCATCTTGAGCATGTCAAAGGTGAGCTGTTAATAACTTTTCTGCTCTCACTGCTGCTGGGACAATATTGGATCGATGTTTAAGATAACAGAACTCCTTATTTGTCCCACTGCTAAGTTTGGTTTTCTGCCCCTGTCATCAGGTGGGAGGCTCTTCTCCAAACTCCACAAGCTGAGGAATGAGAAGGCTAAGGAACACCCAGAATGCTTCACTTCTGGCCAGCACAGCACCAAGCTAAAGACCAGCCACACCTCACCCACAATCAGTACCGACTACCAGCACAGCAACAACGAAAGCAGACCGATTCCCGAGAAACTGTGTGATGAGAGTCCAGATACAGACTTTGCCACTTCATGGGATGAGACTCAGCAGCGTCTGGAGAGCTGCGGGACTCACTCCTACATCGAGGAAACAGGCTGTCTGCAAAACATGCGCTCTGCAGCATCATTTTACACCAAGCTCGATCAACTCACTCTGCATTCTGGCCCAGTGAAGACACAGGTCAACACCCACATTCATCCACCAGCTCCAAGTTTGTGTTTGCACTCCAGTGAAACTCAGGAAAAGCCAGCTCTTCCTCTCTCCTGTGCTCGTGTCAGTCAGGCTCTCGATGTCATGTCAGAACTCCAGAAACAAAAAGCTGGACTGGGACTTACAGAGTGCAGCTCGGAGTTTGAAGTGGCTTGGAGAGCTGTGGATCCAGCATGCAACTGTGAGAAAATAAACCCCTATGCAGTGACTAGCAGTAATTTATACAGCACACTAGAACAAACTGCACCTCATACAAATCAGACCTCATTTTTAAATGCAGGACCACCAAACAATGAAAATGATGGTTTGAGTTCCTCCCCTGCCATTTTGCATCCTTCTCTTCATTGTCAAACCCAGGTCAGTGGCAGGGCAGCATGGGATATCAGTGACTCTAATCAAAGACATGTTTTAAGTGGTAACTCTACAGACACTGTTGCAGATTCAAAGCAAAGCAGCAACAGTCTCACCACAGAGGAAAGAAATGGAATGGTAGTCATCCGGAGCACAGATAGAGCAGTATTTTCTGACCATACAGACACAAAGATCGCCTCAGAAGGCTCCTGGCCTCCTCTTGCTTCCCTCTGCCACAGCACTGCAAGAAACCAGGGGACAATATCAGCAATGTCCCTGTCCCTGTCTGGGGTTAAATCTGAAAAGGAAACGTGCTCCAGTCAGGCAAGAGAGGGAGTAGCAGCAGCCTCTAAATTGCTGAGTCCTAAAGAGAAGACAGCACTTGTGGGCTGGTTCTCCTCTGGCCCTCCTGGAGCCCCACCCCACAGGAGGAAAGAGGATGTGGATGCTTTTGTCAAATCAGAAGGATCAGAGGGGCAGGGGGAAGACCAGATCATCGAGGTGGAAGGCTGGTGCTACCTACCTTTCAAGTCCTCCAGGTCTACAGTTAAGGCCGTACAGACCTGTTGGGGGCTTCCTGAGGCAGAGGTACGCATCTGGGGGGCACAGATCCTCCTAGCCCTGGAGAATCTGCATCAGCAAGGTATCCTGTGTCGGGATCTCAATCCCAGAAATGTTCTGCTCACCAGCAATGGTGAGTCCACCAACTAACTGTAAAAGGCAGCTTGAGAAAAATCACAATACTTTTGATTTTGATCAAACATATTGTTTTCCCAGGAAAGGTGTGCTTGACATTTTTCGGCCAGTGGAGTGAGGTTCAGCCAGAGATTAGCTCCAAAGCCATGGAACAGATGTACTGTGCTCCAGGTACAACTATGCATTCCTTTTAGATCACAATACTAGTTGTTCCTTAGGGTAAGCTGCCACCTAGTGGCAAGATGCAGTTTGTCCTCATTTTACTAAATAAGAGGTAAGTACTGCACATTGTACAGGAAAAAAAACAACCAAACAACAACAATAAGCATGCAATAAACACATTCTCTTCAAATGCTGTACATGAATACAACTAAACTCATCCCATTTTTGTTGACAGAAATTGGTGGAGTCTACAGGGTTACAGAGGCTTGTGATTGGTGGAGTCTTGGGGCCTTGTTGTTTGAACTTCTAACAGGAATGGTAAGCAAAGGCCTGTACAAGCGTATTCAGGCATACAGAGCAACATCTGGGACTGTGTAGCTTTGCACCATTCCTGCAAACTGATGCTGGGTCATCCATTTCTCACACACTCTCTTCAATGTGCCTTCAGCCACTGTGGCAACTCCATCCAGAAGGAATCCACCTCCCTGCTCACTGAGGTTAGGATTAAGCTCTCAAACACACACAAGGCTTCTGTTCAGTGACATGACTTTGATGTTATCTTACAGTATATTACACTCTCCGCAGCTGCTTCAGTTTGATGCTGGCTATCGCTTGGGTTCTGGAGGTGGAGGTGTGAGTGACATTAAGTGTCACCCCTTCTTCAGCGGTGTCTCCTGGAAGGCTCTGAGCTGCTAGGAGGAGGTGTGGCTTGACCACCTCTGATTCCACGGGAAGGGAAGATGAATCCTCTCTCGAGTCCAGCCATCCTAGAAAGGCTCAAATGGAAGCAGCACCAGATCCTGGATTTCTTGGTATTTTGTGCTTGCTAAAGAAAATGACCTAATAAAAACTGAAAGAGGAGAAAACTAGAGAATCACATCCCTTCCGAAACATGAAGACTTACTACTTCCAGTTCTGAGACTGCATAGTACTGATGTGGGAATTTAAAGTACCTTTGATGCAATTTTGATAGTTACATTTCATAATTCTTTATATCCATTAATATCAAATTCACCACCACCATGCAGGGAAACTGATAACCATCTAATACTAGACTATTATTTCAAGTATATTTTCAAATCATTCGATATCAAGTGCAGATATACACAGATAACTGTAAAGAAAAGCCTGAATAAATGAGGGGAGAAACTGTGAATGTTTCTGCTCAGATGTACTGCATGATAAGCACCAAAGAAAGACATAACTAGTAACTTTATTTTATTTGATCCTGTCTCCTATCTGTTCATCATATGTGGATGAACTGCCTTTCAAACTGTCTATGCCCTGGGTCTTTTCCTATAAATTTAACATACTATTAAAATAAAATTACAAAAAAATCCAATCGAGTATTATAGTCGAATAATGCAGCCTTTATTGTTTAAAACTTTTTTCTTAAATAGTCTTACACAGCATAAAGACATGTCTCCCTTTTTGTAAAAGAGATGGCATAACTCCTCTGAAGATTTCATCACTTTGGACATTTTAAAACAGTGTTGGTTGGTTTCATTGTTCTCTTCTAAACCAAAATGTGATTATTATACAGTTTTATCTATTATTTGCCATTCATCTCGTAAGTTGAAATGGCATATGGGGCACAAGTCGGAGAACACTGACTGAGCTACAGACCAGCACCAAGAAGCCGCAGACCCTGACATTTATCCATAACAGCTCCAAACCTTTCTTTAAAAAAAAAAAAAACAAACTTCAGCTGCAGTTACTGTAATGTTCTTGTTTTAATGTTCTTGTTTGTATAGTGGAATTTGGTTGGGTCTAAAGTTCACATGTCTAGGAGCACCACCCTGGGGTCCTCCACCACTGACTTGATCTTGCGCAGGAAAGTGACAGCCTCTCTTCCATCAATCAGACGATGATCGTAGGTCAGGGCAACATACATCATGGGACGGATCTCCACCTGAAAAAAGAGGAAATCAATAAGACCATATTCCAATACATCAGACAACGAAGTTAAAACTGAACTGATAACCAGTTTCCATGCTTGATATATATATATCTGGGTAGCATTTCTTAAGCAAAATGCCAAACATTCACTAGTTCCCACTCTTCCATTGGGATAACTTGCTGCCTTTCTCTGTTTTATTATCACTGAAAACTGAATCTCTTTGGCTTTAGGACTTATGGGCAAACAAGCAACATGGTTTTAGAAACAGATTTTTTAAAAACATTTTTCACCTTTGATATAAAAAAATAAGACAACATTATCAACAGATGAATTAATAATGATAACATTAGTTGTCCTAATCTACTGTTCACATTTTCGTATGCCATATTATCCTCTGTCATGCTGTATGCATCAGTGCGGTTATGGATAGTTTCACACCAGTCAGTGAGAAAATTCTCTCCCAGCTCACTTAATTACATCCTTACATCTGCAGCTATCACAAGTCAGACCTGTTAGCAAATTAGGAACATTTGTCAGTCAAAATATAAAAAGCTGATGATGGCCACTGGGTGTGGCTAATGAATGACATGAGTCGGTGCATGTAAAACCCAAAACACCCACACCAGTGAAAGTCTGATAACTGGCAAACAGAGCTGCAATTTCACTCAGAAATTTATCAAGTCCATTTTTATTGCCTTGATCGCTCTGTGAAGTGTCATCCAATCAGTTTTTGTCATAAATGTATTAACTGAATCATTCATAATCTACTGAAATTATTTAATGCATTTCAATTGTTTTCACCGTTCTCGTGCTAAACACACCGTCTTATTTTTGTACAGTGTTATGTTTAACAGTGATGGAACAAACCTTGCCACCGACTGCAACAGGCCTGTCAAAGATGCCATGCATGCCTAAGATAGCAGACTGTGGTGGATTGATGATAGGTGTGCCAAACATGGACCCAAACACGCCTCCGTTGCTGATAGTGAAAGTTCCTCCATCCATGTCCTCAACAGCCAGCTCATTCTTACGGGCCTAGAAGCAGACACGCAATTATGTCAGAAATTACATTTCAAAATAACATCACGTAACAGTAAGTTACAAAGAACAAGAATGACTTCAAGTATGACTTCAAAGTGTTCAAATATATGCCATATAACACACTACCTTTTCTCCCAACAAATTGATGGCTTTCTCAATCTCTGCAAAGTTCATTCCTTCTACGTTTCGGATTACAGGAACTACCAGACCCTGAGAGAGACATCACATGAATTTTCTGCCCTTCACATTAGAAACAAATGAGCTACCAATTACATGTACTCAGCATTACAATATAACCTGTCTTACCTTTGGCGTAGCCACAGCCACACTGATGTCAACGTAGTCCCTGTAGACAATCTCTTTGGTTGTATCATCAATTACTAAAGGCAAAGAGCATAAATACTGTACACAAATGAAAAATATTGATCATCCCTATTTCTGATGCTAGGATTAATTTTCTCATGCACCATTTCTGTTACATGCAAGCAAAAGGGACGGTGAAACCCACAAACAGTTTTAGATTTTTAAAAGCCAGCACTTCAGACCACCCTCTGCTTCACTGTGGTCTATCTAAATGGGTCACGGTGGTCTAAAGGCAGCAAATAAATTAGTGCTGGTTTTGAGGTTTGGCACTGAAAGAAACTGAAACCTTAATCATCATCTTCACTACACGCACGTGCAGTGACTGAATTCTAAACTGTGCAAAGGCAGAGTCAAACTGGCACCACAATGTAAGGTTTCCTCAGTCTTTAGAGGTTAAAGCTGTACCAGCATTGACAGCAGGTTGGTCAGCCAAGGCGTAGGCAGCAGCCTTCACAAACGCCGACATGAAACCCAGTTTGATGTTGTGCTTTTTCAAGAAGACATCTTTGTACGTCTTCCTCATCTCTGAAATGTTGCTGCAGAAAGACAGAAAGAAGAACAGTACACATTTAGAAGTACTGATTATTATTGAGCCATTACTTAACAAAAAAATCCAATTTTCTTATGTTGTCTGACATAATGCTGAGTTATACTAGAATCATTAAGACATACCAAATCTGACATTTTTCAATTAAAAAAGGAAGTTTTTTTTGATGGCTATAAAAGAATGCCGTTGCAGATCATAGTGAATTAAAGCCACTGAAATTGGCCTGCTAATCGTTTCACCACTGCTCATTTTTCTCTTGTATCTCTCTTTTTAATTGTTTGTTTTCCTGTCTGTAACCCCGCTGAAGCTCTAGGGTTTCTCCGCTAACATAATTAGCCCCTCCCAAGACACAGACTCTCCGAGAAAGGAGAGAAGAAGCGATAAAAATCTTCACTTTCTAGAGCCTGTAAATCTTATTGGGCTGTCATAAAAGCCCATATCAGTCGAGGCAGCTCTTCCACTCAGAGTGCAGGTCTCTGTGGGCCCCAGATGCTCTGGCCTCCTGCTCCAACTACCTCCTTCAGCTCCACATGAGCCCTAGCCTGGGAAGTCTTCATCCAGACCGTCAATGTCAATCCAATTAGGATACATAGAAAACCCTGAATAGCCGAAAGCTGACACCACACATTTGCAGGGAAAAGAAATCCTCAAAGTGTCCTCTTCAGCACAGGGGGCAAGTGCAGACAATAACATTTCCTTGTAAATTAATAAAACTTGTTTTAACAATTCTTATCTTTGTTTTAGATGGCATTATGGCCAAATATTTACATTCCAGTGTTTAAGAGGATATTGGGTTTCAAAAAGCTTTTCCTATTGGGCAGATTCCAATCTATAACCATTTGTGCAAGTGTTGTTCTGGCTTTAAAACAGATAAACGGCACCAGTCAAAAGTTTGGACACACCTTCATATTCAGTGGCTCTTTTATATTCTTTTCTACATTGTACTGAATAATAATGAACACATCAAAACTATAACATGGAATTATGTATTAAGCAAAAAAAAAAAAGGTGTAAACTAAACAAAATGGGTGTTAAAGCTTCAATTCTTCAGAGTAGGCACCTTCACACTCCCCTGGCTTTCTCTCCACCATGAAGTGGTCACCTGGAATACTTTTACAGCAGTCCTGAAGGAGGTCCCACAAGTGCTGAGCACTTGGGGTTAGGCTGAATGACTGTGGAGGCCAGCTCATCTGATGCAGCCCCCCATCTCTCTGCTTCTTGGTCAATTACCCCTGACATAGCCTGGACATGTGTTTTAGGTCAGTATTAACAGAGCGCGTGATGGTTTTTGCATTCCCCCAATTAATATTTGACAACACACAAACACCACTTGGGAAACTAGCTCATGAAACTGGTTCAGATACTGCCAATAATGTGCAAAGCTGTCATGAAGTCAACAGAGGCTAATTTGAGGAATCTAAAATATGATTAATATTTTACTTTGCTTATACTTTTTGCTTTCTACAAAATTCACTGTGTCAAATCATAGGTTTGATGACTTCACTCTACAATGTAACGAATCTGAAATAAAGAGAAACCATGCATGAGAAGGTGTGTCCAAACTTTTGACTAGAAATTGCAATTTTCTTGGTTGATTCCAATTTCCGATTGTTTAAAGGTCTGACCTGCTGATTCCAATTTTGGCCAATTCCGGTATCCTAGAAATTGCAATTTTCTTGGTTGATTCCAATTTCCGATTGTTTAAAGGTCTGACCTGCTGATTCCAATTTTGGCCAATTCCGGTATCCTTTCTTCCTAGGAATTGTAATTTACAGCATACACAAACATCTTCCTAACTTTTTAAATGGAAAGTTAAACTGTAATAAAATAAAACATATTAAAAAACTTTTACATTTTCTGTCTTTAGCTCACTCAAACAAATCTCAAAATAAAAAGGTGCTCCAGGTTATAGGACAAA